GGGAGGGAATTTCTAAACCTGTAATCTAAGCTTCACTTCCTCGTTAAATCAGAATGAGAAGGAGAAAGTATTGTTTGTTAGTGTTCATACGTCATAATCCTTCATTAATGACAGAATTTAATTGATGAAAATAATGAGTCGCATAATAAAAACAAAATTTATCTGATTAATCACTATTTAATTCAATAATTAATTGTGAATTTGAATACATCTGTGCTCATATTTATTTGAAAAATATTTTATATTTTGTACGGAATGAGTTGCACGTATCAGTTATGGATTGAAGTTGGAATTTTTCTAGAAAAAAAGGTTATAACCGTAAGGAATCTTTGTAACGCTCCCGTGCCAAGCATGTGCGGACATCGTTGAGTCCATATTCTTGATATGTAATTATCATCTGCCCGATTGATATTTATCTATTTTTTAAAAATATTTTTTATATTTAGTATTTGAAATAAATTATTTTCTAATAAAATATATTTAAAATAATTAAATTAATAATAATAATTATTATTATTATTTTAATTTCAAATGAAATTTTACTTAATTCTATTTTTTTTTTTCAAATTGTTATCTAAAAATTGTAACCAATTCTTTTTAAATCGTATCTTAATTAAGCAGAAATTAACTATTTTCATATTTTATTTTAATTTTTAAAAAGGAAATATAATTTTTTAATCCACCACAGAAAAAAAAAAAAAAAAAAAACAAAATATAGAGTTTTATTTTTGTTCATAAAGATTCGGAGCTGGTGACTGCGGCTGCTCTTCGATCAGACCAGACAGGCCCATTCTTTAGCGTCCCTATGCATCCGTGTTTCGAGGTGAATCTTTTAACATGTTTTGTAAGAATAATTATACAGTTAAACGGTCATTAATTACCATTTAATTAAGCTATTTGTCGCCAGCTGCTGTGTTAATTAATACATTAATTAATGTAACGCGGTACTTTTTCTTTAACGTGATCTCGGAACTTACTACTCTTTTTTTTTTATTTTTATTTTTTTTTTATGTTCCACTGCATTCATGGTTCCATACATATACGTACGGATGTTCTAGCATTTTTATTACTTTCAAATATTCAAATAAAATAAAAAATTAAACCCCTAAATTAGTAATCGAATAAATATAGTAGTGAATCATAATTCAAAAGGAAACGAAACGGTCGTGTAGGGATTCCTTTGAACGTTGCATGCTAATCCTTAATTAATTAATTTAATTTTATTAATTAACGTGTTAGGTGAACTAATTAATTGAATATATTGTTGTTTAATCACTTGGAAGACAAACTTATGGTGTGATCAGGTGGGTGGGAGAAATGCTGGGTTGAAGGGGTTACCCCTTGGGATTTAGGGCGCCCTACGCCCATCGTTCTTCATCTCCTTCAGACCGGTAACCTTCCTAAGGGCAGGGTCTTGATACCTGGATGCGGTAGTGTAAGTATATATGTTTATTTATTTATTTTTTAAATTAAAATAATGTATACTTTTTCAAAATAAATAATTAATTTAATAAATTATTAATTCTAACTGAAATTACAGGGGTACGATGTGGTGGCAATAGCGTGTTCTGAACGTTATGTTATTGGATTAGATATTTCGGATACATTAGTTAAGAAAGTCACTGAGGTAATATTATTTTCTCTGCTATAATTTTAATTCAATTTAAGTTTTGGATCAATTAAAAAATTAATAAATTAAATAACATATTGTACTTTGATTTTACTTACATACAGCGAACTTCTTCATTGCCAAATGCCAACCATTTCACTTTTATAAAAGAAGATTTCTTCACATGGCGCCCCGAAGAATTGTTCGATATGATTTTCGAATACGTGTGAGTAGTTTAAAGAAACACGATTGATTAATTTTGTTTCGTTAAATTTTTAATTGATTAGGAAATTAAGGTTTTTTTTTTTTATTTTTCGAGCCAAAAAATTAATTAAGATTGAAGAAGATAAAATTAAATGCTGTTGATGATAATCAGGTTCTTTTGTGCAATTGAGCCAAACATGAGAGAAACATGGGCAAAATCAGTTGACGAGCTTCTAAAACCAGATGGGGAGCTTATAACACTCATGTATCCAGTAAGCATGATTACCATTAATTTTGGAGTTTAATACTTAATGAACGAATAAATTCTGATTAATTAACGATTAATCTTGGTGGCAGATGGGCGACGACTACGAGGGTGGACCTCCTTACAAAATCTCAGTAGCTGAGTAATATTTCTCACCTTCATGACCTATTAACATATATATATGTATATACATATATATGCCGTAGATGGTGTATATATTTCTGTATATGTAGATATGGTGTAGATGGTAAATATATATACTTTGGTGTTAATTATACAGATATGAAGAGGTGTTGGTACCTTTGGGATTTAAGATAGTGTCCATTGAGGATAATGCGCTTGCTCTTGGACCTCGTAAGGTATGCTTGTTTTTGTTTTTTGTTTTTTTTTTTATATAAATAAAATAAAAAGATTAAATAAATTTTAATTATTTTTAAAATTATATATGTATTTAATAAAATCGTATATAAATATATAATTTGATAATTTACAGGGAAGAGAGAA